CTAAGGGAGTCGGGTGCCTGCAGGATAATCCCGTCTGGTCAGGTCCCAGGTGGGTCGGAGCCCTGGGATCCCTGGTCAGATACATTTGACGAATCGCAAGATGAAGATAATAATAAAAATAATTTTTGCTCTCTGGTTCTCAACGACTGACTCAACTTTACCGGGCACATAAGGCAGCACTGATGTCTCGTCTATTCCGTAAGAGTGCCGAAGGTGGTAATAAAGCACACTTAGGTATTGGAAAGTCAGCTGGTGTGACAAGTCCTGTGTTTCGAGATGACGGTAAAACATACCATGTAAGGACTTTGCCACATGTTCGTCGAGCAGTTTTAACTGCTCGGTTGTTTTTATATCGACCTTTCGCTACCCTCTGGTCAATTGCAAAAACCTTAGACCGCCTGGGCTGCTAGGGTCGAAAACTGAGCCGAGGTTTCGCGCTGCCTGATATGCTGCTTATATAGGAACGCATCCCTTCCCAATAGTTCGAATGTCATCGGGATGAATCTTAATTCAATGAAATCCACTAGTAAGATCGTAAGTGGAAAAATGTTTTGAGTTATTGATATTGTTTTGTAAATACTGCATTATCGTCAGTAGTGCACAATCCTATGCATGAGGACGTCTGTAGCGCTCAAAATTATTGCGGGAAAGCAAAAAAGATCCTGATTATTAATGGCAATAGGAGCTCTGCTCTCGGTAATACAGTTCTTTGCCGAAATCAAGAAAACATTACGACAAGCCAGGTTTTCACTTCTGGGTATAAACTCACCAGACAACTTAGTGAATTCCCGGAGGCGCTGTAGCCTTAAATCGACGGAATTAGCGCCGTTCGATGTCTATTCTCGTAATTTAAGAACGGGTAAGAACTGATTAGTAATCCTTTTAACACCAAAAATCAAACGCAATTGTGTCTCGAAATCATTCGGGTTAGTATATTTCATGCTTTCTACAATAGAACTCGTATCTGGGTTGAATTTCTGACAAATTAGAATTAAAAATACGTTCTTATGAAAGCTCTTATTAAATTGCCGACACGAGTCTGACAGGTAAAAATAGGAATGTAAGACAGTGCAACATTGACTGAAATTTAGTTGTTACCACAGAAAACTAGTGGTTGGTCAGCTCTCATCCTCATGACTTAACGATGAAGAGAATTCATTTTGTCTTCATCCTGCTGACCCACATCTGCCCCTTGTTTTTCTTCTCCAACGTCTTCTCGTTTGAACATATAATATTCCTTGTCACCTGCTATTTCTTTCGCGCATTTTATTACGATTGTCGCGTGAGTTTCGCATTACTTTATTTCTTATATTTTATCTGCGAATGCTTAATTTTTAGCCTTGTCGGCTTTAGAGAGTGACTCAGTGCTCCCGATAGTACTCGTAGCTTGATCGCGATCTATACTATTATCGGAAAGTATTTCTCAAACGCGAGAAGGTATTAACAGAAAGTTTTACAAAGAAAACAATTATAAGAAAGCAGCCGCTTAATGCAGAGCTTACAATTTGCGATGAACAAACCTTTATATTCACAAAATAGTAAAATTTCCAAAATTGCCATAATTTCTATGATATATTAATAGCATAAATTCAAGATTTCAGATCAAAAGGTTTTAGGAAACCATGTCATCATCAGATTTGTTACTAGTCATTTTTTATGCATAAAGTATGTTTATAACATGTCAATTACTAAATCAGATGAGCCGTTAGCTACAGGAAAAAGGTTGTCTTTGACATAATCGTGATACAAATTAGCCATCATTGCTACTGTTTAACTTAAGCCTGATGAAATAATTCTTAATTGATTCATAAATCCTATGTGTTCCAAAACAATAAAGCAAGCAGGCAACATGAGCTGCGCTCTAATAATAGTGAGACGTTATAGAGCGGCCGACTTACACAGCGCTCACTACTATTACAATGTAAATGAATAGGTAAGCAAGAGCTATTAACCCGCCCATCGTGCAGCCTCTTGCTCTACAGTCTGCACAATCCCATCAATTAATAAATAGAGTAGCTCTCCTCTTCGCCGAGTATGAGGAGAGCGAGAAGGTGTCGTTAGCCATGCGCCCCAAGTACAGTACTCTATCGGTCTCAAGGCCGCCGTCTGCCCTGTTATGCTAACGGTGGGCGAGTGACTTTGCTGCTTGGCATTTTGAATCTTAATTCACCGTTTAGAATGTTAAATGTATAGATATTCCATAAAGGCGATACATTTTGCCTTAATGGCATGTATAAGATCTGTTGCGAACATCCCTTGGTTATCGGAGAATTTACTTAGATATTAATGTAAAGTAATGGTATATATTCGGCACCACGTCACCTACACTTTTTGCCCATCCAACTATTGCCTCTCGTCAATCTAACGTGCTCTCGTGGCTTACATCTACAGTGCTGAGTAACACGCCACTTTATACTGAAAAGTTTGCTCGTGACGTCACGACGCAATGTTCAATCGTAAATATCTCGGTAACTAATCAAGATTACAAGATAATTTCGAATGTACAATCAATAATGACTGTTATTTTCATTTAATTTTATTTAATTTCTTCTAATTCATTATTTTTTTATATAATAATTTAAACTCATTTAATTTCATTTAATTTCAAAATTAGTTTTATTTATTGTTTTATACATATATACATATATTCCTAATATGTAAATTTAGCGAATGAATGATTTATATCTTTTTAACTTCCCAGTGGGAAGTTATGGCAATGGGTCCGATTTTGCGAATCCCGAATTTTGACACATCTCCACGTTTTAAGGTCCCCAGAGTCGAATACGATTGTTTTTCAGTTCCAGTGGACGTCTGTGTGTGTATATGTACGTATGTGCGTTTGGAATTATTTTACGCCTCGATTATCTCGAGAACAAAAATGATGTCGACGTGGAACCAACTGCATTCGACGCGTGAATATGTAACTTAGAACTGATTAGATTTTCAGCAAAATCGGTCCAGCCATTTTTTTGCAGAACCAAAAAACTAGCAAAAATGGAAATCGACCTGAATTTTGCAATTTATAAATTATACCATTATTTAGACAAAATTTCGAAATCTTGAAAAACATACGGATATTAAATGATTAGAATACCCTATGAAAATATGATGACAACATGAAACACACTCATCTCGTTTATAACAATTCCATTTGTTATAAAGAATGGAAACGGGTTCTATTCGAATCGATTCTTTATTTTTTCCACTGAGAAGTTGGTCGTGTGGACCTTTCGGGTCGCACCCAGACCACTGCAGAGCACTGATATTTTTCGTTGATATTTATAAAAGATATAAACAATATTATTCACTTATGGATTATTGTGCAATATAAATTATGTGAAACATACGTTGTTTACATTTTTGGATATGGATAATAAGGTTTATTTATAACTAATGTATAAATTGCCGGTGGCTGTCTGTATGTCTGTCCGCGCTAATCTCCAAAACAACTATTTCGATTTCAACCAGAAATTTCAGGCACGTAGGAGAGGTTGTTAAAAAGGTTATATGCTACGTTTGATTTATGAAAATTATTTATAACGATTACATCTGTTACATTAAGTAGATCAGGTAATTAAATTACGCATGAATGTCATTCATTTTTAGTCGTAATATAATAATAAATGTTTTAAATAATTCGATTTTTTACAATTTCAAAAATACAAAAAAAAACATTTCCTTTTTATAAGTAGTGAAACGAATAAACTATAAATATTAAAAGTACAAGATATTTGGAAATTAGAGAAGATAAATGTACCAAAAATGAATATCGGAAAGGCAGAACGTTACAACTCTTTAAAAACATTCAAAAATTTGAAGAGAAATTGAAATAAATGAGGACCTGAAGATAAAGATTTTGATGACATGCATGATAATCCTCAGTATGATATAAAAGATAATGGTGAAAATAGTACAAGAATTGTGCAGATGTGAATGAGGATAGTAATGAACACGTTATACAAAGTAATGGGAATAATAACGTCCAGGAAAAAGAGCTACATATAATTCGAGAAATTATTATGCGTAATGCCAATATTAATACAGAAGGAAAAGAGCCAAATGACGATAATAATATTGATCACCAGGTTAATCAGTTGAATTCATCGTAACAAGTAGTTGTGAAGAATTTTTTTATTTACAAATAACTGTCATACAATTTATCAAATATAAATCTAAATATTTGTAGACTATTGAATTACGAAAAAACATATATTGTCAAAAAATAATACCAGACGGTACTATAAAAGGGTCACAGAAAGCATGTTACATTGCAAGACACTTGATTCCTTTTTAGCATGGGTTTTCATGTTGGTTCACATACAAACAAGTATTGTTATATAAAATCACATGATGTTATTCGATACGTTCATGTTTAGGAAGATCAAATTACAACCACTAGCATTTTTATACGCACAGATAATACATTATGTTATTATATACATATGATGTGTGGTTATTTACAGATAGATTGGATGAATCATATAATATTCAGATTTATCTAGCTGTATCTCATTGAATCTCGTCAGATAAAGATAATAATAAGATCTGGCTAGATTTGATCAGAATAAAAAAATGTAAGTGACTGATAAGATCTTTCCAAATTTGAATGTTCTTCCCAGGTAAAGAATTGTCGTAAGTTTGCAAGATATTTATATTTTTCAACAGCAACCAAAAACTGGATTACTATGACAGGTTTTAAACGTGTACGTCACTTCTGTTTATAATTAACTAAGTGGAGAAGGCTGCTCGAGATTCAGGAGACGAAATTCACACCCAATAAATAGCCGACTCGAATCTTCAATGCCTTGTTTAACTGGTTGATTTATCATACGGAGTTACAATCGTGTTATCCAATAATCGCTTGTCATTTCAGAATCTTAAATTTTCAGTTTTGTAAGAAATATCATTAATTTTATAATGATAACGAAAAACGTTTGTATTTAAAAAGCAATCGTGTCACTTAAATAACATTATTCCACTCGAAATTTGATATGTTTCAGGGAACTCGAAACAACTAGACACGGATGGTTTGCTTTATATCGGTGGAATAGCGATGATTTCTACAACACTGTCAATTCCACCAGTAGTATGGACTGCTTCTCTTCGACAAGGTTATATTGGCTGCATGCGAGATTTGATCATTAATGGAATTCCAGTAGATATTGCGAGATACGCTCAACAACAAGATTCCGGTGAGTACACTTGACATACTATCATTATGAAATTGACGAAGTAAATGTAAAAAATAGGTTTAAGCGCACTTTGTCTGTGCTAATACGACGAACTTCCTATTAGTAATTGTTTATAACAAATTCATTTTGTTATAAACAATGTGTAGTTTTAACGAGTCAAATTTCATCATTAATAATATTGTACTGTTGAAACCATCAAAATCCATTCGATATACACATTACTTAATCAATAAATACAATTTTCGATTGTTTATAACAAATTCATATTTTTGTAATGAGTAAAAGTCATATTTGGTTATCAACAATAATGTCTAGTTAATATTGACTTTACTTTCAAATAAAATGGTTATTCTTCCGCTTAAAAGTATTGTAAAAAGTCAATCTTATCATTTATTGATTATTAGTTTTTTTGTTATAAAAAATAAACGCGCCATCATCTGTCGTAGACACGTACCGAAACTGTGACCCGAAGACGAAGTAGTGCCCAGCTTTATAGACAACTCTGACAATTTGATCTGATCTTTTCCTTCACGGCTTTATTCCGTTCCCAAACTTGCTGTGTTTTGTCTATGATAGAAAAAGATGCGGTCTTGAGCAGTGATGCAGCTACTGAATCGATAGCTCATCTAAGAGAACAAGGAGTCAGCTGAGCTTTGAAAAAGTGCTTCTGTCGGAGTTGCCACCACCAAAAAGACCTGCTGAAATCACTCTACAGAATATTATGGAAGCCTTTAATGGATTGAACTTGTCCATCTCCAAGCTGGGGGCAACGCAGGCTGACCATGGTGCAGTGATTGTCAAGCTGCCCGACTCTATAACAAAAGCGGAGGCTAGCTGCAAAGTGGAGGATCTGAAGCGCGAAAATGCTGAACTGAGGTCTTCATTGGAGCGACTAACTCTACGTGTTGAGGAGCTTGAGAAGCGTGGAGTGTCTGCTTTCTCTAATTTTACTTCTTCTTTGTCGTCTTCTGCCTCAGCCTTAGCTGCAGCTACCCAAGCAAATACTATTTGTCTCCAGCATCTTATCAAGCAACAGGCCATGAATACAGAGTTGGTGATATCAGGTTTTCCAGAAAGTGATTTGCTCACCAATTCTCAACCTTTGGATATGGCAGTGTTGGATGCCCTTAAACTATCTGTTCCCCCTGGCAAGATCGTAGAATCCAGGTTTATGCGTAGATTATGCTTCTGGATCTACTCCTTCTAGTTCTACTGTTGTCTCTGTTCGATTGCTGCCTTCGTATTCTTCGCCTGCAGTGCCTTCTCCAGCCTTCACTTCTACTACGTCTAGCGCTATTAGAAGGACATCCAAACCTAAGACTTCTGTCTCCATTAACTAAACTGCGCAAAAATACCACCGGATGCCACCCCGATGTCTTCTCGAGACTTCAAGGTCTCAGTTAATGAGCTGCTGCCCTCCAGGACGTTCCAGTTACTTGGAAAAGCGAAAGCTACTCTTAAGCAGATTGGCTTTAATTATGTCTGGGCTGAAAACTCGAGTGTCTGCGCCAAGTTTAAAAGTGGGGATATCACACATTTCATCAATATCCATGATGACATTGCTAGGTTAGCAACGACCTACTCATCGTCTACCAATGATCAACAATTTCTAGCAGTTCTTAGATGACCATCACCTAGCTCTACATTGTACACACTGAAATGTGGCCCGGTATGATATCTTTTAATGTACTTATTTTGAAAGCAAATATCTGTGACTTTACTTAGCTGTCTTAGTAAATAGTCGTTTATAGTCTGTATCTATAACTATTTTACTGTCTTATGTAACTTTTTGTTTAATTGTCTTAACAATAAATTCTACTATCTATCTATCTCTCGGCGAGAGTTTCTCCTTTACTCTACTCCAGAAAGAGCAAACCGTAAGAAAAAAACCATTATTTGCTTTGATTTACATTTTTTTTTTTGTGAAAAACAAAATGTTTTTGGGCAAGTGACTTTTTTGTCTCTTATCTATTGTAAACTCTTTCATTACCAGCTTGATGTTGGGTCTTTGCTCCGATCTGTAATGAACTTGGGCTCCAAACAGTTTTAAAGAATACCTTCCATGAAATCGATTCCATCTAAGATAAGCTACGGTTTGTGTGGAAGAACCACCCTGAAGACTCAACAAAAGATTTCAAATCTAAAAAAGATTGTTCCATATGTAATAGTCATAACTATGGTACAAATATATCTATAAAATAAATATTTTTTCGAAAAAAATTTTTAATGTTATTTCATAGCCTTATTCTTTATAGGGAAGTAAATGATCATTAAAGTTTATATTCGTTAATAAAAAAACTTCAAATATCGTTATGTGTATGATTTTTTTTATTTAAACTTTCGAATGATTACGAATGCACAATAATTATATATATAACATTAAAAAAGATAATTAATAACTGATATGTCCAGGAGTTTCATAGCAAACTTTCTGGTTGCATTAACTGTACGCTGGCAGTTTCGGCAACTATCTTTTGGAAGTAGTCGGTACTACCATTCGTAAGTTGCTGTAATTACTGCATTAAAGTAATGATTGTAATGATAACCACGAAAATATAATTACACGAAACATTTATTGACAGTTGTGTGAACATACATTGTATAGTTATTTGCATTATACATAAATAGTTGTACATACATTTATTTCACAGTTTAGTCAATCTTATTACAATAATTACAATAAACATTCTATATCAGTTGCTTCAATTATCGTTTGGAGTTAAATTGACCTAGTTTACGTAATACAAAAGCTTTTTTACATAATTTATGATTAACTTGAGTGCACTCCTACAATAAAAGTGATCATTTTAGCAAATAACAATAGAAAAAATTTGGATATTACTATTTAGATTGTAATTGGACATTATTTTTCATGTTTTTTTCTAAAATAATAAATGTATATACAATACTTCATAAATTTAGTTGATGAATTAAAAATAATACTTGCAGCTTTAATTTTTATAATGAAATGATAGTCTTCATCGTTACAGGATCGTGATCGATTTCAAGTATAAAATATTGCGCTACTCATCGAATCATGTGACCCAAAAAAAAAATGCTACGCAAATAAAAAATATTTCGATGAAATCTATTGAAATAATGACCGGAGAGCATTCTACAACTTGTCAAACATAATTGTCTTTACTACCTTCATACAGCTGAATGCTCGTCATTATTAGAATAAGTTTGACGTGATAGATAAACTTAGCACTAAAGAGCCAGTTCAACTAGCTCTTCAAGTTGCCGATTAACTCTTTTGATGAAGTTGGATCAACTGTAATTAGCAATATTGACTTGTAAGTTGTACTAACTATAAAATGAAGTTCCTGTACTATGTTGAAAGTAGTTGTTATACCTACCTGGACAAAGTTCAATGCTTCCGGTTATTACAACTGTTTTAATACCATTGTTATAACTAATCATATATAGTCAGAGTAACTGACTCTACAGGTTACCGATTGACTACTTTCGTGAAGTTCAATCAACTATGTGAATAATAGTTATTATTTTTTAGTTCCCGCACCCATCAAAAAATAGTTACTCTGACTACTTTCATGAAGTTGAATGCTAAAAGTTGTTCGAATTTTTTCAAATTAGTTTATCTAACTCCTTTTATATAGTTCACCGTACTACTCCTTACGAGTAGTTGATGCAACTATATTTCTCCTAACTATCGTGGATAGTTACTTCAACAAGTTTTCTAGTTGCAACAACTATTTTTCAGTTACCGCAACTATAAATATTAGTTACTGCATCTAGTTTTCCTTTTTTGATGTAGATAGTTGGCTCAACTATCTCGATTTTTCTTAGTGTAGATATCTCTATTATATTTTCTATTTTGTGAGAATTTTTTCCCAAATGAGTGTAATATCTTGAGACCTGCAAATTACACACGTATATTTTGTTGGTTCAGCCCAAATGTGAGCTGGATTCATATTGAAGGATACTATGAACTTCTTCATAACTTATTGGATGCTTCTTCACAGCTTACTACATAATTATACGATACTTAAGTCTGAAACTAGACTGATGTTTTTTCAGTCTCGAATCTCCCAATATACTCAAAACTAACGGCACTCCTCTCTTTTATCATTCTACTTACTCCTATATCATAGGAATTGTGAATAAATTTTCATCAAACTTGAGCAGATCTTTATGAAATTTTAAGTAAATTTATTTTGAGTAAATTCTAATCAAATTTTAAGTAGATTTCGAGTAAAGATTTTTATTTTCTAACATTAGTTTTTCTAAGTTCTTTAATAATTAAAATTATTTTATTCGAATGAGCATTATGTCCTGCACTCTAAAAGGCCATAAGTAGTCGTCATTCATTAACAAGTTTATAAAAATCATCTGAGAAGGTAGAATTTGTTGATTGATTTTTCATCGAGATTTTATATTGGAGTGGAGGTTTTTTTATTTGAGTTATTAAACCATGTCCAATATACTTTGCAATACAAATTTTGAATTTTTTACTATTGTCAATTTTCAAAAATTCTTTTGGATTGTAATTTTTTTGAACCTAAATCGTATAATCAACAATTTCACTATGAATTTTTTTTATCAACAACAATACTATGAGGCAATTTTTTAAATAATAATTCGAGCAGTCCATGACTACTTCTATTTACACTTTCAGCGATGAGAATTTTATTATTTATTTTATTATCTGTAATTTAAAGAGGGGTGTTCAATATAATTGCTGCAGATTTTTTTCTGCCTACGGCTCTTTTTTCTTCAACCGCCGCTGTTATTTCTTTTCCCTCCCCATGTACTTCTGTATTTTATTTTATTTCATATTAAATAATATTTTTTTAGGAATTGACCTGTTAATGGCTCCTGATATTGCTTCAATTTCTGCCATTTGATTACGTCTTTCATTATCTACTTTATCACGAAAAAGCTTTCTTCTCTGTGGCACGATATTTCGTCTGTCTTTCATTGATACATTTACAATTGTCATTTATTCGACAGCATTATTTGAATTATCATTATTATTG